TTTACCCTTTTCGCTTCCGTTCATGTAAATACAGATTATAGACAGATGTGACACAGTAAATCCCTGCAAAATTACACATAGGTCGCTGTAAGGTCACAGTACTGATCATCATCATCATCATCATCATCATCATCATCATCATCATCATCATTACCATTGGGCCATTTTGACTGCAGGAACTTTGCAGAAACCCACAAACAAACATGTAATTTCCAAATAAAATTCAGACAGTTTAAGCGTCTCATTTAAGTAGATAATGAACTTAATCTGTGTTCATTTTAGCTGGTTTCCTTTTTTTTTTTTTTTTAAAGGAAATTACAGGATTAACCAGTTTGGGGCCCCTGGGCTAAAACTGTGCTATTGGGCCCCTACTGACCCCCCACCACCTACCTCCCAAGCTCCAGTACAACCAGCACTCCCAGTTACAGTTGGTCAGTTAGTTTGTGGTCATTTTATTGAACACATTATTCAGGAATACAACATAAAGTAAAATGAAGAAGCTCTTTAATGAGATTCTGTTACAAGAAAAAGAAAAGTTGTCTATTAATACAGGACTCGCTTTTGTTGTTGTTTTTGCATTTTAATGGTGTTAAAAATTCACTAACACATTTGCAGATATTCAAAACCAAGTGACAAACAAAAGGACAGCTTTACTCAGTTGATATAATCCAGCCTGGAGGAAGTTGCCAGGAGCAGTTTTATTGTTTGTTTGTGTGCTAACAACCCGTACAGCTGCTTCGATCGACTTCCACACTTGTTTGTGGCCGTTCTTCCTACAAACCTCCAGTTCGATCGGTTGTATTTCCAACGAGGAAAGCAGTCGTCAGTGAGCACACTGGACATGTTTGAACTGCTGGAAAAAAAGGGAAATATAGTTGGTACAGAGGTAAACCTGAGTACGCTCCAACCTAAACCACTGTTTCTCTTTGTCTCTGTCGTTGTGTCTCGACCTCCAGATGAAGAGGAAGTTGGATCATGGTCCGGACGGACGGCCGTTCCCTTCAGGGAAGAAGCACTGCAAAGGCAACGGCTACCTCAGGTAACACACGCACTTTATTAGGCTAACCGAAAAGCTTTACCTAAAACAACTAAAAACATAATATTTTTAATGCCGACTGGTGCAGGTGCTAACGTCCCTGTCTCACTCTCTTTCCCCAGTCCCTCCAGTCTGGTTCCGGCCACACCCACCACATTCGGCGACCTGCGGCTGGCCAATGGACATTCGGCTCAGCGGCGGCGCGTCACCTCGGGACCGCCTCCCTCTGGCCTGCAGGACTGGCTCCATATCTTCCAGGTCAGCACTCACATACCCACAACCCCCCGAACAGCGATCGTCCAATCGGAGCTCAGCTGTTGAGTGTTACCTCTAAAGGTAACTGCAGGTTACATTAAAAAAAAAACCCCGTTCCAGATTACAACACTCGCTGTGCGGCAGCCAAGATGCTTTCAGCTAAGATTAACTCGGGTTTACGCTCCAGCTCAACTCGTTATTCGAGATACTTTTGCCAAACACATTAGTTCTCTTCCTGAAAGCCTCTTGTCCTGTAAAAATGAAGCAATAAAGCATAAATCTAACCTCTGTTGCTTCTCCAAGTTTATTTATAGTAAACATTTAAACAAGTAGCTTGGGGCAATGTTAGCTTTATCTGCTTCTGTCTGAAATCAAGGATCATTGTTCCAACAAATGTTATGAATTTTGATCGTAAATCTGTCGCCATTACGTGACGTCAATTAAATACATATTTTTAGCATGAAGACTTTATAGTTTCTGTTAATTAAAGTTAATTAACTGCTAATTATCCCACCTCATATAACACATTTCACAACAGATACTTGCTGCAGCTTTGAGGTTTACACTCTAGCTTCACACATTAGTTAGTCCTCCTCCTAAAAGACTTTTCTCTTGTCAAAGTGAAGCAAAATACACGAATTAAAGCATAAATCTAATCTCTGTTGCTTCTTCAAGTATGTTTTTCTACAATAACCAAATAGCATTGCAGCTAACGATAACTTAAGCTTAAATGAGAAGCTGTTTTTGTCTACTTCTATCTGAAATCAAGGACTCATTGTTCCCAAAAAATTTTATGAATCTTGACTGTAAATCTGCCGCCATTACATGACCTCAATTCATAAAGTCAGTTACATATTTTTTACTATGGAAATGTAACAGTTTCTGGTAATTAAAGTTAATTAACTGCTTAATTATCCCACCTTATATAACACATCTCACAACAGGTTCTGGTAACACTTCATGAGCTGCAACAAACTACACAGTTCAGATTATCTGCCAACACACACACACACACACATACACACACATTTTCAGTAAAATGTGTATGTGAATATCTTCCGCTTCCTGCTCGTGAACACAGAGCGTTAGAGGAGTTCTGCCTCCGAGCTGTTCTTATGTAACTAATAAAAAACACACACACACACATTGAAATGAAAAACATGGATCTGTCTTCAGTCGCTTTGGGGGGAAAGAAGTTAAAACGATTTCAGAGACACACAAAAACAAGACCACACACACACACACACAAATCAGACATAAACAGAAAAACACTTAAAGCAGTGGTTCTCAACATGTGGGTCGGGATCCACACGAGGGGTCGCCACAGTTTCACAGGGGGTCGCGAGGCCTTCTTGATTTTAACGTGTACTAGAAACCTCGAAATATAAACATAAACAATACGTTTTTATCTCAGCATTTCATTTATTTACGTAAAGAAACATATTGTTATTTTAAAGTTTGAATTAGATTTAGACCAGATGAGTTAATTTAACTCAAAAAAATTAAGTAAAACGAGCTACATTTTGTAAATTAATAAAGATTCTTGATCAAGTAGCTTTAGTGGTTTTAAGTGACTTAATGTTATTTATTTATATTGTGAAAAAAGCTAATGAAAAGCATTTAATCAAGAATGTTTTTTAACTTACAAAACTGAGTTTCTGTAACATAAAATCTTCCATATAAATCTGAGTTAAAATAACTTTACAGTGTATTATTGACTATTATTGATCTAAACACAGGCTTTATTAGAAGAATTGGGAAGAATAAAACACTGAATTGGTCAGAAAGAAGCCTTTTAAGTCTTTATGATTGTTAGAAATAAAAAAACAGATAATACAGTCAGATAATTGTATGAAAAGTTCCAGAAAAACTCATCTGTGTTTAATATTCACAGAAAATAAACTTCCTGCAGTTGTTTATCAGCTGTTCGGTATTTGTTGAATATAGTCAGCTCAGCGATAGATTAAAAGGGGAAACCACAGACTGAAAGTAAACCTCCTCATCCTCCCCTGTCTGCAGACGTGGAGCGGACCCGAGAGGCTCCTGGCTCTGGACGAGCTGATCGACAGGTGTGAGACCAGTCAGGTGAAGCACATGATGCAGGTCATCGAGCCCCAGTTCCAGAGAGACTTCATATCTCTGCTGCCCAAAGAGGTACCCACAGTTCAGATCACAGGACAGATGTGTATGTGTGTGTACATTAGGAGCAGTGGTTTTAAAATGTGTGTGTGTGTTTGCAGTTAGCGCTGTACGTGCTGACCTTCCTGGCTCCTAAAGACCTGCTGCAGGCCGCCCAGACCTGCAGGTACTGGAGGATCCTGGCTGAAGACAACCTGCTGTGGAGGGAGAAGTGCCGCGAGGAAGGTAAACACTTAACAGTGTGAATACAGTGGATAATGTTACAGCTTAAGTCTTGAGTATTTTCTGTTTAACTCCACCCTCTCTCCCCTGAATAGAGCCATCTCTAACAGATTAGCTGTGTAAGGTTAGATGGTAGAGACTGAAATCAGACCGCAGTAACCAAATATTATAATATAACTTCTAACGTGGAACAAAGAGGACTCTTAAAACCAGCGGTGGCATTAGTGCTGAGACTGGAAGCTGCTGTCTGCTGGTCCAGTATCCCCGATTAGTGGAGGCTGGCTGCATAAAGACAGTTAACCAGCGTTGTACATTCATACAATATGATAATTAGTTTAACCCGCTATCATTTCTGGTGTCGACTAGTTAAGATTAGCAACATTTAACCGGTGGATTAATTCACATTTGGTGCTTTAGTGAG